CCGAACACAAACTGGAAGCTGATTCCACAAATGTGTCTCAAAGTGTTTGCTCATACAGGCGGATGTTTTCTTACCTGAACATCTTAGCAACAACGAAAACATTGGCAACAACCTCATGGAAGATATCTAGAGGTATAACCAACCAAGCGATAGATAATGAAAAGGTGGATAAAGTATAAGCTCCTTTAAGTACAAGGCAGTTATCTGTGTGCGTGAAAGACATCTACTCCTGTGATGGACTTTTGTCTTTTCAGGAAAAAAACCTCAGGAAACAGGAGAGTGGGTAATTATCTGCATTCACACATGCGTTGACGTGAAGTTTCTGGAGCAGCTCTGCAGAGTCATCTCGATGACAGCTCTGCTTAACGGCAAGACTTGAATATAATAATAATAATATATAATCTCAGCCACTCTCTCACGTTGTTTAAAGATGACAATGCCTGGTGGTTAAACCGTCAGCAGCTTCTCATTATGACTGCAACCTGAAGTTCATAAAAGTTGGGCTTCTTCACATTCCAATGCTTCAAATCAATCCTTTCTTTGTAAAATAGATTATTTTTCTACTTTGCCTTCAGAACAAATATTCCATTGTTCCTTGGTCTCCAGGATTGTAGCTGACATCCTCGTGGATTCATCTTCTTATTACAGACACATGCATTTCCTAACATTCGGTCTATATGCTGTATAATGTATTATCTCTTCGATTTACACACAGCATCTATTGCAGGTCTGTCCGTCCTGGGAGAGGGATCCCTCCTCTGTTGCTCTCCCTGATGTTTCTCCCATGTTTCCCTTTAAACTGTGAGTTTTTCTCCGGAAGTTTTTTCTTGTACGATGTGAGGGTCTAAGGATAGAGGGTGTCGTCTTCTCATACTGATATTCTGCACAAACTGTGCTGTTGTATTTGCTGTAAAGTGTCTCTACTGTGGGCTATTTTTATTATATGTACAGCACTTTGGCTCAACCAAAAATCGTTTAAAAATGTGCTATATAAATAAAACTTGATTTGTTGTCTAAATGGAGATCGGCTAAGCTAACGCAGTATATGCTCCGACCGTCCACACTCACAACAACGGCCTATACAGACATAAATAAACCAGCGACTGTATTCGCCATGACACAGACAGTCAGTGGTTCGTACTTGTTTAACTTTTGTCTAGTTTCTGAACAGATATTAGGAGCTTGAGTGCAAACAGCTAATGGCTGATGTTGTTTTTCTGGGGTGCTCATTGAAGATGACGTCACGGCTCCGCCTACACTGCGTTACTATAGTCCTAAACTGTAATGGAAGCGCAGAATTAAAGTGAGCCGGTCCTAACAAGGCCTAACAAAACCGTACTAAGTCGAGCGAGGCCTGCGGTGGAAATGCGCCATAAGAGATCTATGGATACATCTCTCAACACCCATATGAAACAGAACTGTAAGCAGATTTATCTTTCTTTATGGATATTTTACAAATCATTCTCCTTTCAAACTGTATTCTTGTTATTTAAAAAAAAAAGTTGTTACTGTCATATGGTATTTTATACCTGTTTTTCATTTCTTATTTTTTTATAACTATAATGATCATATCAAGGTGTGCCTTAACCTCACTGAGATGAGGTCATTTGAGCCTCTCAGTCTGTCAGGAGAGAGCTGTCTTCCACCTGGTTGTAGAAAAGCTCTTTAAATTCGTTAGCATAGCTAGCTAACCAGATGCTAATAACACATCGCCACTGTGCTTACAACTAAAGACACAGCCACGCAAAAACTGCGGCATGTGTACGGCTCCTTATGGGTACTGCAATATTTGAAGTGCTGGAGCGGCGTTCCGGTGCTCTCCGTCAGCACTACACCACGTGATGACACGTTATGCTCGTGTTGTGCTCAAGGAACCTGTTCTTGGCCAGGAAAATCAGGCACTTGCTTGTTTAATTATTTTGCGGTCAAGATTTCTTAAAACATTTTAGAAGTGAGAAGTTGTCCGTCAGTCCGTGAGTCGGACCCCCCCCCATAACGAAAACTCTTTGGTTCTCCACGAATTACACAAGTCACCCAAATCAGCGTTAAAAAAGCGGGAGGCGCCAAAAAAGCGACTAATTTGCAGGCATGTGTAATAACCTTCTCTACTGTCTTCCTTTTCATCCTGTTCCTCTTCCATTTTTTGTTCTTCCTCCTCTTCATCACCATCCTCCTCCTCTTCCTCCTCTTCCAGTCCCCAGGTGTTCTGCAGGCCCTGCCCCACCTGCCCCACCCCTGGCACAGGCACCACTGGGGAAGGCACCCTGATATATTTGGTTAAGGAGCCGCAGTGGATATAATAATGCAAAGGTACAAAGACACATTTTCTTTGTAGATACTGTTAAAGGATACGTTTGAGGCGGGACCTCGGCGTTCTCGACGATGTCATTGGCTCTTTCTGACGCATCAGTCATCTCCACCGAGGTCTCGTCCGTTTTCAGAGCTGTGATTCGCTCCTGTGGCATTGACTCCGCAAAACCACACCTTCCGCCTGCTTTTCTGTGAAATGTGAAATTATAGAGTGTTTATGTATTTTAACAGCAGAAGTTGAAATACTGTTTAACAATGAAGTGATGCTCACCTTGCTCTCTTGTCGTTCTCCAGGGCTTTGCTGATGAGTTCTGTGATTTCAGACACCTTTACGCTGGCTATTTTACTGCATCTCATAACCTTAAACACAGTCGAAATAATTTGATGTTAAAGTCTTTGGATTTTTCTCATGGGAAATATGAAGCTCTACGGTGACCGATGCAAAACTAAAAGACAGCTGTGGAGTGGTGTCTCCTCACCTGCTCTTTAAGCAGCATGATGCCCCCGCTGGACTGGATGGAGCAGATTTCTCTGTGTTTGTTCATGGCGATCATCAGCAGGCCGTCCATCACCCGCTCCTCCCGTTCACAGGGGTCCACCAGCAGGTAGGTTCTGCACAGCAAACAGGAAGTAGAGAAGAAGACAGCTCGGGATGAGGAAGGATAAAGTTCTTCAAGGACTGGTGAGACGTTTGCATTCATAATTATTATTATTGTTTTTTGTTCTACACAATCAGTTCTTTGTGAATTGTAAACTAATGCTGTCTGATAAATAGTGTTAATTTCGTCAGCTATTTTTTATTTAGTTTTAGTCTTAGTCCTGTGTTAAATTTCCTTTTTAGTTTTAGTCAACTTCATCCTGTTTTTAATTTAGTCAAGTTTTAGTCGACTAAAAGTCTGAGAATTTTAGTCTTATTTTAGTAGACTAAAACAGTAAATATTTTAGTCAATATTTAGTCGACTAAAAGTCTGAGCATTTTAGTCTTATTATAGTCAAAGAAAACTAATTATTTTAGTCTACTTTTTGTCAATGAAAACTGTTGAGTCTTTTTTAGTCATCAGATTATATATAGAACATTTCAGTCAAACTAGTCGAGCCAAAACCAATAATTTGTAATTTTAGTCAAACTTATTTCACAATAAGATTATATATTGTCCTTATTTGATGAAAAACACAGGTTGAATGATTAAGAATGCAGCTTTGCAGAGAGTATCAGGTCAGGTTTGTGGTGTTTTTACCAGCTGTGTTATGGCCACATTGCTTCCCTTCTCATAAAACAATGCATTCGCTTTTTTTCTCCGCCTCATTGTAGCGAAAATGGGCCCAAATATCGCATTGTTTCTTTCTCCCAAGCAGTGGTGGCTTTAGACTTTTTCGTTGTCAGTCATTTTGACGGACAGGATCGTAACATTTCCGTCATAATCCATTATTACCCGTCGAGTGCACAATTTATCACTCACTCGCGCTGACATGGGGGGTATTCGGTTAACGCGAGTGCGACCACTGGCTCCCAAGCCCTGTTGTTGGTATTTTATTTTCTGTTGAATAAGGTTAGTTAGACCACGAGTTAGCTGACAGTTCA